GCATATTTTATAACGTACTGCAGTATATCGTATTGTAAGTTTGTGTTTGACAACTGCTTTAACTGAGAATCCTAAAATATACCGGTATTGTATTATGCTGAAAGGGAAATTTTCAACATTCTTCCACTTACTTGGTCCCTTTGTTTCATTTGTGGTCGGACGCTATTTTCTACTACTCTAACTTTTTTCCTCTTTTGTTACACGAGGTGTTAAAACACTTTGGTCTCATTAAGTTAGGTCTTTAAAGGCACATTACTTTAACCATAGTTTTACTTAATAGTTTCTTTTTTTTTGAGTTTAAACCAGCTTATCATTTGATTGTAACTTGGGTATCAGGTTGAAAGTAATTTCTTTTTCTGTTGGGAGGGAAATAGAGGCAAAACTATCAAATGTTTCTAAATCTGGGTCATCTCCTGTTGGTTGAAATGTCAAACATTGCTATGATCAAACAAGTGTGAAGGCAGGTTTGCAGTAAACACTAAAGAGTCTTTTAGAGTTTTAGTTCAAATGTTGCCTACGTTTCTACACCAGGCATTTATTATATCCCCATGGATGATAAGTGGAATAGCTTTCTAAAGTCTGTAAACATGAGCAAATAAGCTGACTTTGGCAAACCTGTGTTTAATTAGCAGTTAAATAGAGTTTGCAGATTTTTTTGCATTTAATCTTGCTCTAACGTTGTTTTAAAATTTTTCAATTAGTTAGTTTCTTTAATGGATCTGAAGGTGTCTTATTTAGGGAGGCTTGATGATTCCTCCATTCCTGATAGGACTCGACAGTTTTCCAGCAGAGTTCAAAGTTCACAAGCGTACTCACATCATTTGGGCATGGTATTAGCTTTAGTTATGCAAAATAAAATAAGAATTCAGTTTTAATTTTTTGGATTACCAAAACGTTTGTCTTTATGTTCTTCAGAAGTGACTCGCATGAAATACCACTCCTGGTACATTTTTAAGCTCAAAATTTCAGCTTGATGACAGTTCCATACCCTACGGTAGTATACCGTCATCACCAGTTACTGCTAGCGATATCGCTTTCAGTTTGGTTCCAACTGCTGCCACCTCCACTATTGAGGAATCAGATTTGTCGTGCCTCGTTTCAGACAGAACTTGCTTTTATAAAAAACTTCAACGTTTGTCTATGTCAGGTATAAATATACCTGCTCCAGCGGTATTACAGGATCGTACTAAACCAAGTGATCATAAGTATAACCAAAAAGAGGTTGGTTTTGATCTTGACTTCAAATGTCTAGAATTTATTTGCTGAAAACATTTTTTCCTATAATTAATTATCGCTGTTGCCAGTGAAATTTATATTTTTCTGCGTTAGAGTATTTAAGGATGCTTGGGTTAATTCATTATTATGTCGTTAGCTTGGTAAGGAAATTTCTGCGGTAGGTGGTACGGTCTTATTTCCACTTGTTCGAGGTTTTATGCAGGTGATAGTAGAATTAGCTTCATGCTCTTCCTCTTCTCTCTCAAGTTTTAGTCTCATTTAAAGCAGCTCAAGTTTTGTAATTTCAGGTCTACTTGATGACGTTGAAAAATGAAAAACATAGAAAAGGTGATTTGCTTTGGTTGGCGTTTCGGGCTGCCCTTGCTGGAAGGTTCGTTAATGAATAAATAAATATGAGTAAATAAATGGTTAAACGAAAAAAGATCAGTAAACAATTAAAAATACAAATTAATGTGTACTGGCGGTCAAGTAACAATAACAGTATCAGCTTTCAGTCGTTTAAAGTTTCTGATTTTTTGTGCTGTTAACCGATGAAACCAGTGTTACTGTCTAGTACCAAAAACAGTGGTTTTTGGTACTGATAAAGATCGACGACAATTGCTGTCTATAATTTCTCCATAAAAAATTCTCAACTTTTGAAAGATTTACTCCTTAATACTCTTTTTAGCAGTATTGAATTCTTGACTTTGGTTATGCATGTAATCTACGAGTCTGTCGTGTGGGATCTCGAGTATTTTCATGTAGGGTTCCTGTTTAAACGCTTCCAATTGGTCTAGATTTCCGGGGGTCTTGCTCTAAATTGTTCCTCTATCTTGTCATAGATATTTGATTGGGTTGAGTCAGTGAGGCGGATATTACAGAACTTTGATTCGTTTGTTTTTTATAGATTCTTTTATTTGCTTACAGAGTATACTTGCGCGTGCTCAAAATACCATGTTTCGTTTGTATGATGGACTAGAATTAGTTGTCAAGTATGAGGCTAGAAGGTTTTTCATAACAGACAAGTACTCGTTATCAATTAAAGTGCCTCTAATACCAAGTGGAGATTCAACATCCAAGCGATATAAGGATTTTTAGATTAGTCCAAACTCAGAAACTGTGTCTTACTGTTTTTACGAAGCAATCGCTACTGGACTTTTTTCGTAGCCGTAGTCGACCTGAAGGTACCATTCTGAACTTTGATTCACTTGGATGACCACTTTTGGCCGCTGTTTTCTTGCTTAATCTGCATTATTTTTTGCAGGCTAATCTTGCTTTGATGTGCGGCTTCATTAGTGGCTGTTTTTAGTTACTCTGCTTGACAGCCTGAGCTCTTTTAACTTTGTTCTGACCTCACTAACTGAAATGTCAAGTTTTAGTTGTTGGACATGCTTTCAAACACCTACAGATGTTAATAGCGTACTCTGCTCAGGGATCCTATGTATTCGTGTGTGTTTTTGGGCGTAATTTTTACCACAGAGCTTTTTTTTTTCAATTTTCTCTGCTGTTTATTGTATCCTGTAATTATTTTCTTCAAACGGAGCGGGGTTCAAGAGTTTTTTGTCCGGCACATCGGTTCGCCATCTTTCCTAAGGTCGATCATTATCTCAGGCATTTCTTCGCGTAGATAAATTCCTCTGCCCTTCCAAATTGTTCGAAATTATCAGTCGGACTCTTATGTAACTTTGAAATCTGTAAGAACTCAAAAGAATCCTTCGGCAAAAAATTAATTTTAGAGGTAACATGACGTAAGCATTTTTGTTTCCTAGTGTTATTAGATATGCCTCGTGTTGGTATTGCTCTAAGTCTGTTCAGAAGCGGCTGTTTTTTCTCCTTATTTGCTACATTTTAAACAGTTAACGCTTTTGTTAATTTATTTGTAAGTTGAAATTGGTGTCTTATTTTTACGATTTTGGAGAAGTTCAAAAGCGAGAGTTTAGAGGACTGCTATTTACTTGACCATCACTATATATATATATATATATATATATA